CTGGATTCCGCGGGTGGGGACAGGTGTGTCCCCTCCCGGCCTCGCCTCCGCTCCCCGGGAGCCGCTGTGACGGGCCGGGTCTTTGGAGCAGGTGGGCACCTTGGGTTTGGAAAGCAGCCGCCCACCCCAATCCCAACCCCTAACAGCTGCCCCTGCCTGGAGGTCAGAAAGCGCGCCAGACACTTCTTACAAAAGTATTTTTTAATAAATTGATGTATTTCAATGTTAACATGATAGCCCAGTGCTGTATCAAGGTAGCAAAAGTGAAGACTCCTGGTGTTGGTATAGAAACACTATGAATGACAGTACATGTGCATTCAACGTCACAAGAAACCATCTTCAGGGTCATGAAGACAACAGCCGGACAGCTTTCCGCCCGTGGAGACGCCTCCGGACCCGGCGGACCGTCCACTAACGAGCTCCACGCAGGGGGGGGGCGCCGCTGCGGCACAAGCCCCGCCCTCCCCGCCGAACCCACCGCCGGAACGTCAGACAGAACAGAATCGGAAGCGGGAGTGGTGCTACCCGCGGGTGGACCCAGGACCCTGCTCGGTGCCGGTGCTGGTGAAGGTAACGCTATTGCAGTGGGCGGAGCGCGTGGGCTGGATCCCAGGCACCACCCCCCCTGGACTCCACAGGCCACACCCCGACGCTCAGGCCCCTGAAGGAGAACCCCTGAAGGAGAAAACACCCCTGGGCGGGAACCGGCAGAACCCGGCAGCCTCTGACCCTACATCGCTGTTACTGGCCCGCGGACCAGGAGACGGGCTCACTCGGCCTCCATCCTCTCAGCATCTCCATGGCCAGATGTCTAACCAGGTCAGGTGGGGAGCACGATCCCTCCCCGCCCAGGGCGAGGAAAGGCGGTAAGTGCCAGTTAATAAACCCAGGCGCACGCTGGGCTGTAGAGGAGGAACCGGCTCCCATGGATTCTCAAAAGTAAAGACCTTGACTTCTCAACCTTGAGTCCAATTAGATCGTGATCACCTCCCGTCCAGAATTCCACCTGACTGTTACTATGACCAGCCTTGAGCCACCTGTACTTCTGGAGCTAGGGCCCTTGACTGTTCTTAAACTCCAACGGCTGCAGATTAAAGTAAATACAACAAAATAATAGTCGCTTGTGTGCTGGGCTCTGGACGAGCGGATGGGAAGGGCCCGGTGCTGGCCACTAGCCTGGAGTGAGCCCCGTGAGTCTGAATGAGTTAGAAGGCCCAAGGAAATGCACCGCGGGCTTCCCCTACCTGGGTGTGGGGACAGGACTCTTGGTTCAATGAACAAATCCACTGCTTGACTCTTAGTGTTTTATTCTAACCTGTTAGACCTGAACCAAGTCGCCTTTCCATGAAACTCCAACATTCCTCCTGCCACAGCTCTTGTATCAAGTGCTCTGTGCCCAAGAGTGGGAGTGACCGTGACGGCTTTCCTCCCAGAAGCAGCCAAAAGCGTAAGTACGTTACGTGGCTTCCTTTTCCTCAGGTCAATGCTTAGCACTCGAGGTTTATTTTCCCTATGAAGGGGGTGTGCTTAAGTTGATAAAATGAATCAAAATCAGCTTATGGAAAAGTTAAAAATGTAGTTTACTGAAAGATATGTATCTTTACAAAGAGTAGTAGCACTAACAATCCAGTCTAGACGCTGAAATAAGAGATGACTTTAAACTAACAACGTGTAGAAAGTGGAAGTCACTGCCTTGGGTACGGTATATACGGCATCCAGTCTTACGTAGGACATTCATTCTTAAGGCAGAAAAATTGAATGTGACATGTAATGACGTGGCTCTTACATCCAGGGGCCAAACGGGGAGTAGACTCGAGCTGACAGATTCCTTGCTAATGAGGACTTATCTGTGTGACAGTTCCATCCTTAGAGAGTGTGACGTAAGAGACATACATTTGAGAGAACAGAAAAAAAGGAACTTAAAGATACACAAGTGTGACTTCAAACGAGAGGTCAATGAGACGAAACTACTCCCATAACAAACTAACAACTTACTCTCCCTGATGTGGTACTAAATCGCCTGAAACATCCAAGAATCAGCTTTTTGGAGTGTGTTGCTTTAACCTGTTTTCAAGGTCTAGTATAAAGGCAGCCTGGATAGCTACACGCAGTTGAACGTCAACTCGTCCTGCTGCTCGGAAGGCTACCGTTTAGGATGTCCCTACTCGCCCACAAACTCCTGTGCAGGGAGGCCGTCAGCGTGTTAAAGAAAAATGAAGCTCCCAACACGTGTGCAAAACCACTTGTCAGTTACTTTAACAAAAAACATCTTAGTTCCAGTCAGAGGCAGCAAAGCCAGCCGGACAGAGGCGAGGCGCGTGCCTCCGCTGGGGAGGGTGTTGGGAGGAACCAGGGGAGCTGTGCCGCCCGGAGGGAGGGAGGGAGGGAGGAGGCGGAGGGGCTCCCTCTCAGCAGACCAGGCCCCCAGCCCTCGGCTGTGTGTGCTCCTCCGCTCTCTGCCTCCTGTGCCAAAACCTCCACAGAAACACACAAACCTCAGTCTCAAGCAGGCGATGCCCACGGCCGCTGGTCTCTGTGTGTGCCTATGATTGACGCCAGAGCTGGCAATTGTCGGAAGTGTACAGAGATTGCCTGCCTGACAGTGAAGACATGGAGATTTTCCTTTTATGGTGGCAGGAGTCCATGCAAGGTCTGTAAACAGCGATACAAAATACTGTAAACATAACTTAACAGAGTCGTAGAAAACAGAAGAAAACCTGCATTTACAAGTGGGTAAAAAACCAGAGGGCGCTCACGCAGTTCCCCCTGCGCCGCGTGGCTGGTTGTACAAATGGAATCCTGAGCTGTGAGACGGGATGGGAGAGCCAGCTGTGCATTCGCGTCACAGGACGCTTCCTCCTCACTTCTCGCTAGTGACACTCAACCGCCGGACAGTGCTGCGTGTGGCTTTGGAGACCTTTAGAGTTTAGTGTGGCGCCCGGGCCGGGAGCCGGCGGCCGTGGCGGCCGAGGCGACAGCATCCTCGGCCTCCTCCAGTTCGCCCTGGAGCTCCTGGCTCACACTGGACTGCAGGGCTGCGGGCGTGAGCCACTCCTTCGGGAGGCAACTCTGCAGAAAGGGGATACAGGAGCTGAAGTAGGCAAGGCGGTTGATCCAGCGAGGAATCTCTTTCCCACAGAGAATCTGGAGGAGGAAGAGGGGTGTTAGGTGAGAGGTGACCTGCGTGGAGGGTGGAGGGAGGAGGGAGGTCAGGCAGCCTCTGAGGACAAGCAGCTCCCTAGCTGGGGGCCTGGTCCCTACTGTCAGCTCCTTCCTTCCTTCCTGAGGAGCCGTCAAGCTGCTCGCTTTTCATGCCTGTAAAACCTGGCTTCTTCCTCTCTTTGGTCCTTGCAACTGCTTTGAGACACACGTGGGAGGACTGACCACCACAGGGGTTACCGGAGGGCAGAGACGCCTCGGGCCGGGGGAGGGCTGTCAGTCTCGGGTATGTTCCTCTGTGAATTCTCCCCGCCCTCCATCTCTAGCGCCCGTTTCTCCTGGCTCTCACTGGCCCCGTCTTCCCAGCAGCTCACGCTGGCCCAGAAAGCAGCATCTCCCGGGGCGAGGAAGCCTGGCTCTGGGGCTGGAGGCCACCAGGGACGACAGACAGACGAGGGCCCGGAGGCTCCTCCCGGGCCCCTTTCCTGTTTCACCTTGAGAAGTGGGTCTTTCATAAAATGAACTTCGCTCTTTACTGTTCTCTTCCTCCTGCAGACCACACTGGGCTTGACTGAGGCCGTGTTCCAAGGCCCCTCAGCATTTCTGCCTCCAGTCATGTCCCAGATGATGGCCATCGAGCTAGAGGGCCAGCCACCTCTTCTGACGATGACCTGGGAAAGCGGTCTCAAGCAGTTTATGTCCCCGAATTAGCAGGTGTGTACACCTGTCATTACGCACTGTAACCTTCCTCCCTAAGGGTTAGCCGATGCCTGATGGTGACTGGCCTCTGATACCACTGCCACCTGCCACTCTAAAAGCAGGTATGACCTTTCACACCGAGACACGCTAAGGGCTAGCTGCGTGGCTGAAGGTCGGCCCCGGGAGTGGGACTGTGAGCACTGGTCCGTGTGACACACCCCGAGACCACTGCCCCCCCTTGTGTACCCACATGCTTCCTGAAGCTGCCTGTGTCCCGACCCCTGCGCAGTAACTGGACTGGCCTAAGACACAGCCCGTGAGCTGTCAGCACCCGTGTTTGCATCCTTACAATGTCATGCGAGTCTCAAGAAAGCCCTGAGCCACCTTCCTCCTGCCCTGAAGATCCCCCAGGTCACCCCTGTGGCATCGATGCGTCCACAGGACTGGAGATGCTTCTCCAACTTCTATGTTCACAGGAAGCACCTGGGGACCGTGTTGCAGTGAAGATGGGACTCGGCCCATCTGTCGTGGGGCAGAGGCGATGCCCCTCTCACAGACTCCTATGTGGGGTGCGACGTCCGTGAAACATACTTGGAGAAGCCCCGCAACAGTCCGCTACAGTCCTGCTGGCCGCGATGCCACGGGAGCCGGGAGGGAGGTGGACAGAGCCAGGGCCACGCATGCCTGCAGGGGTCAGGGCGGCCTCCTTGCAGCTCACAGCCTCTGGAACACTCTCCTCCACCTCCGTACCCGGCTGCCCCAGGCCAGCGAGTTGGGTAGCTGTCCCAAGCGCTATTTAATTCTCTAGACCTTATCTGAGCATCCTTTGTTTTCTTCCTTCCATTTTCTTTTTCAAGGTCCTGTAATTCTGATCTAGTTTTGGTCGCCTGGGATTCAAGAATTAGGAAGGACAGTAAGTGCCTGCGTGAGAAGCTGGCAGAGTAAGATTCCAAGACAGGAAAAGTGAATGACTTATGAATAAGTAGGAGCCAGGGAAGAAAACTCAAGTTGGCAACGAAAACTTAGGGCAAGAGAAATGCGAGTGGCTGGAAAGCAGCAGTCGCTCAGGCATTCGCTTCTTTACAGCGGAGTTTCGGGCGGTAATAACATGAGTTAGAATAAGAGACAACCACTGTACTCGCTCTGTACCCACAGCAAACAGAATCACAATTCCAAGCTGTGTGACACTAAGTTACCATGTTAGAACGGTCATGCAGACAGGAGAGAGAGATGCAATACCTACTTTATACAACACGAAGAACCAGCAAGGACGAATCAGTTACATGCAGTGGGACAGTGAGTGTACTAGGAAATGTTATCACTTGAAGAACTTTTAGGATAAAATGTAACTTACCTCTGATAAAGCTGAAGAAAAGTGATTGCAGTTTTTGTGCATTAAGTGGTAGGCATTGCCTTTGTATTCCTTTCCCAGTTCCTCTACAATCTTTTCTATCTCATCTTCTAGGAAGTCCGTGCTCCCTAAAACAACAGATTCTCTTAAAGAAAAGAGAAAAACACAGCTGTGTGAGGCTTATGTCTTTATAAAAAGCATGTTTAACACTAGAAAGACCGAAATTTAGTATATACCTATATTGCCCAAAAGCAGTCAAAATGACTGCATTGTGAAAGAATAACTAATGTGTAAAGAAATTTGTTTAAAATTAATTTTTAATATTTTTTATATTATTTACAGTTATATAACAAGTTATTCGGCATTTCTTTCATGAATTTAGGGCACAAAAGAAATAAACAACTTATTAGAACAAGTATCACTGCATAAAGATGCGAATAACATCGCCGAAACCAGTTTGGCTCAGTGGATAGAGCATCGGCCTGCGGACTGAAAGGTCCCAGGTTCGATTCCAGTCAAGGGCATGTACCTGGATTGCGCGCACATCCCCAGT